GCGAGGGAAGCCACGACCACGGACCCCACCACTCTCCGAAACGGAAGGTGCTGAGGTCGTGAGGAATCCAATGATGCTCAGGCGGGCGTGCCCTCGGCAGAAGCATTGGGCGCCACGTGCGTTCAAGGTATCGATGGCTCACGGATTTCTGCAATAGAATGTTCTCAATCTTAAAAATGAATCCAAAAACATCATAGTCAAAGAAATTGGCGAACAATCACGAAAAAAAACAACAAAAAAGTACCAAAAAAAAAGCCTCCATTAGATCAATTTACATATTTCACGCGATTCCTTTGGTTATGTGTATTTTATTTGAGTTTTTATGTGTTATTATGTAATGATGGATTACCGAAAATAAGTCGAATTCTCAAATTACGAAAACAATTCAAAACTCAAAAATTGAGTAGTGATTTAGCTAAATACATTCAGTATCGCATTTCGCTGCGCTCTTCATTGTTGCGAGGGCCAAGATATTCGTTTGTCGAGAGTTCTACAATACGGTGCCATTCCGACAGGACCGACCCTTAGACCAGAACAGAAGGGGGCCGTCAACCCGGACAGTGACAAATCAAAGCAGGTACATCAATAAGAAGTTGCAAAGCCGTCGCCACCAGCCGCTGCCACGGGCTCGCCCGACCCCCCGTTCGGGGGGCCAGGCAGGGCACCAGGGAGCAGCGGGGCAACGAGGGTGCAAGCGCTGTCTCCTCCCCCCGCCCCCAACCCGACACCACCCCGTTCACGACCAAAACCCTCCCCCAACGGCCCTCCACCCCGAGATTCAGACCACCTCAACTGTGTCGAGGACGACGATCTGTCCGGAAAGGAGAACGCCGCTTGGAGGGAAGGCAGGACGAAACGGGGAGGGGCCGAGGACCCCGCAACACACCCCGCCCCTAGCCTGTACCACGACCCTCGATCCCCAAACAAGCCACAAGCTCCACACGAAGCCAAGTTTGAGGCCGGGATGGAAAGGAGGTCTGGACAAAGCTGAGACGGGAAGGAGCGGGGGTACGCAGGCCGAGGACAGCCGCCACCACCCGACATCCCGCCCCTGACCCTCCCGCAGGGCTGTTCATGCCCGGACAAATCGCCATCCCGACCAGAAGTCGAGAGTGGGGCTGGGCCGAGGCAACAACCTGCGGAGGCGAGACGGGATGAAGGGGGAGCAACGCCACAAGGCCCCGGACCCTGCCCACTCCCCCCACCCTCGACCTACACCATGCGCCCCTCTGCACCGGGCCAGCCGCAAGCTGGGCACTAAGCCCAAGATGGTGCTGAACGAAAGAGAAAAGCGGATGCAGGGAGGATGGGGGCAAAGGGCGGTAGAAGGGCGAGCAAGCCAGTGTCCCACACCCCGAAGATCGGCCATTCACGTGTCAATGATCCTTCCGCAGGTTCACCTACGGAAACCTTGTTACGACTTCTCCTTCCTCTAAATTATAAGGTTCAATGAACTTCTCACAGCACCCCCAGCGACAAACTGTCGAGATCACCGCAATCCAGACACTTCACCGGACCATTCAATCGGTAGGAGCGACGGGCGGTGTGTACAAAGGGCAGGGACGTAATCAGCGCGAGCTGATGACTCACGCTTACTAGGCATTCCTTGTTCAAGATCGATAATTACAACAATCTATCCCCGTCACGATGAACCTTACGAAGGTTACCCGGGCCTTTCGACCCAGGCAAGCGACTCGTTGGATTCATCAGTGTAGCGCGCGTGCAGCCCAGAACATCTAACGGAATCACAAACCTGTTATTGCCTCAAACTTCCGTTGGCTAGTCGTCCAAYAGTCCCTCTAAGAAGCTGGCCACGAGGAAAGGTCCCCGCGTAGCTATTTAGCACGCTGAGGTCTCGTTCGTAAACGGAATTAAACAGACAAATCACTCCACCAACTAAGAACGGCCATGCACCACCACCCATARAATCAAGAAAGAGCTCTCAATCTGTCAATCCTTGCTATGTCTGGACCTGGTGAGTTTCCCCGTGTTGAGT